TCACATGGAGTTTGCTAGGCTCCACGGAACAGAGCTCCGGATGCTCTGGGTGAACGCGCCACCAAAGTCGAAATCGTAGATACGTTTTATAAAATTTGCACTCGAAGACGGGAAGAGGTGGGCGATGGATCAGGTCGCCAAGCTCCTCTGAATCTCACACAGGGTCTCTATTACCCTGCCGTGTACCCAGAGTCCCCACGAGATGGATGTGGAGTCCTCTTCGGCTTGGGCGGAAACTGCTCAAGCCTCTTATACGGCTAACAGGCCAATCGTTAGCCGCCACGTGGGAATAATTTAGAACTAGCCAATAATGGGGAACGAATTTGCATACCGGTGGCGGGAACTCTTTTGCACCGTGCATTCCTCTTGCAACTCGAGCAATGCACTCTGCAAAAGAAGCTGCAGAAAGGCGGGAAACTCGTCCCTGCACCGGCGTTTTCCTCTGCAACAGGAAACTCTCCCATGCAATGAAGCTGCAACTTGGTGGGGATAATTCTGGTGCCGAAGCACACACAAAATCATGCCTTTGGGTCATGACAACAACGTCCTAAAGTTACGTATAGCATTCTTTCATTTTTATAGAGTTATTGGATTGGAGTGCACAAATGTGAGTGAATTGCAGTAGATAAGCATCGTGCTTGCTTTTAGGATGGAGAATGGAGTAGAGAGGTGAAGTGACTTGCCCAGAGTCACCCAGAAAGCCTGAGGCTAACTTGGGTTTTATAGCATCAGCCTGTCCCGAACAGAAGACCATCTGTCCTGTAGGCCACAGCCCTGCAACTCCTTCCTTTTGGGTACAACAGCCTGCCTACGTGTAGGAAACTGCAGGATCCGGCATCAGTCACTTGTAGTGGCATGTGTGTTGAAGGTCAGGAAGCCTGCAGAATGGATAGGATGTGCCTATACTGATAAGTCATAAACAATCCATTCTTCAGTATTTTAAATTTAGCATGTTGGAGGATCAGTTGAAAAGTAACAGGGTATCCAACCGAAGTATGTTTAGTTGTAGGCAATTGGCAACGAATGTTGGGTTGGTTGTCGTGAACTTCTGTTTAATACACTT